ATATGTGTGATAGTATTACTGGAACGCTTCTGAACATACCAGGTAAGACTAAGGATGGTGTGAATGCAAGATTGGATTTGAAAGAAATGGAAATACGGGAAGACTTACACCCAAGACCAGAAGGTAAACGAACTTATTGTCCCTCAGCCTCTCATACATTGTGCAAATCTAAGAAAACAAGTTTTTGTGAGTGTTTACATGGAATCAAAGTTCCTTCAGGGTATTCTTCAAATATTATAAAGCTTGTATATGTGAAAGAGTTGAAACTAGTAGGCTTAAAATCTCATGATTGTCATGTCTTGATGCAACAGCTATTACCATTGGCTATTTAAGGCATACTGAAAGAAGATTTAAGACTTACAATAACTAGACTTTGTTTCTTTTTCAATGCTATATGTAGTAAAGTTATTGATCCCTGTAAACTTGAAGAGTTAGAACAAGAAGCTTGTACTATCTTGTGCCAACTTGAGATGCACTTTCTTCCTACATTTTTTAACATTATGGTTCACTTAATAGTGCATCTAGTAAGGGAGGTAAAATTTTATGGTCCTGTTTATTTGCGATGGAAGTACCCAGTTGAGAGATACATGAAAATACTGAAAGGGTATGTCAGAAATCCATTTTGACCCGAAGCATCAATAGTTGAGGAATATGTTGCTGAAGAAGCTATGGAGTTTTGTTCTCATTACTTGTCAAGTACAGAGTCAATTGGACTTCCAAATCTCGTCATGAGAAAAGGCAATATAGTCAAGGCATATGTGGAGTATCAGTGAAGAGCATGAATTATGATGAATTACAAGAAGTACATTTATATATCTTGAATAATATTGATGAAGTTAAAGATTACATATCTTCTCATAAAGAACTTTTAAAGGCAAAAAATTATCGAATGAGAATGACAGAACAAAAGTTGTTGAAAGAGCATAATAGGACTTTTGTGGATTGGTTCAGGCAGAAAATTTTGAATGAAAGTGGTGTTTTTGAAACAGTTAAATGGTTGGCTAGAGGTCCTAACTTTGATGTTATATGTTGGAGTGCCTATGATATTAATAGGTATTCCTTTTATACCAAGTCCTTGGATGAGAAGAGTACGGTGCAAAATAGTGGAGTTATGATAATGGCTGAAACCGTACACTTCTCTAGTTCAAAAGATAAGAAACCTAAACTAGCATCTAGGACTTACTTTGGGGTTATTAAAGAGATTTGGGAGGTTGATTATACAAAATTTAGAGTTCCTGTTTTCAAATGCAAGTAGGTTAATGTCAATAGTATTCGTGATGATAAGTTTGAATTTACAATGGTTGATCTTAAAAAAATAACTTTTGGATATGAGCCATTTATTATGGTAGACCAAGCTAAACAAGTTTTCTATGTCATGGATCCAGCAAATAAAAATTGGTCAATAGCACTTAAAGGAAAAAGGATGATTAATAGTAATGACGATCATGAATCAAATTTTGATATTTTTGAAACTCCTAACTTCTCAAGTGGGCTACTAATTTTGGATGTGGTAGATGAAGTAGATGATGAACATGCCATAAGAAGTGATCACCATAAAGGGATATGGGAGAATATCCCTATATGAATTTAGTTTTGAAATTAAAGTATGTTAATTTAGTTCAATTAAATTTATGTTGTGGGATTGTTTTTCTTAATTATCTTATCTTTGATTTTTTTTAATTAATTTCATTTATTTGAATTAATAAGAATATGGAGAATTAAGGTGATGACACTCAGAGCCAGCCCACTACAAGCCAATCAATTGGTGATGTTGCTCCTAGTGGGGAGCCGAGTCAAGGCACCCTTAGTGAGGAGCCGAGTCAGAGCCAGTCTGTGAGGAGGGGGAGATGTGGCACACGATTGAGAGATTTGACTTTAAGTAGGAGTGCTAAGCGTAGGTTACCAATTTAATTTGACCGAAGATGGAATCCGATAGGGCCATATAAAGCCAAGTTTGTTAGTTTTCTTAGCCTCCTATCACGTACCAAGCCTCCTATTATGTTTAAGGACTGGCCTGATGTGCCAGAATGTGTGAAGGAACAAAATTGGGAAAGTATTTAGGTAAATAATTAAATATTAAATTTTTTTTATGGTTATATATTATTGGGTAATTATTGATTATTACCTTATGTCTTCATTATAGCTCACATACGAAGTTCCATCTAATCAAGATTGTTGACACAAATTGATTTCTTACTATGGAACACATTAGAGAAATTTTAAGACTGATCTTGCTAGAAGATATATCTTTATTGAGATGCTAGAAGGTTGGGCTCGTCCCAATCCTCTTGATACATACCAGTTCCTTGATGAAGATACTTGGGAAGAATTTGTCAGGATTCAGACTTCTGAAAAGGCTTTGGTTTGTTGATTTTTAATTGATTTAACTTTTATTTAGATTTACTTCAATTATAAAATCTAAAATTCAATTTATTAACAGTAAAAATGAGCTAAAAGGGTGAGAAATTGCTCGGCAGAATCAATGCCCCCACACCCTGTCTCGTGGAGGTTATACTAGAGCTGATGATATACTGATGGCAAAGAAACAGAAGAAGAGAGAAGAAGAAACCAAGTCTGATCCTTTCATACTCCTTTCTCCACTATCACCTGTCTCTCGAGAGGAGAAATAGAGATATGGACATCAGTACAAGAAAGGAGGCTATACAAGTAAGACAGCATGGGAGATTGCCGAGAGGATTGTAAGTAAAATTATTATTCCTTGTCCCTTTAAATTTCTATACAATTGTATATATTATTAATTAATATTGTTATTTTTATATTATAGGATGCTCTTAAGGAGCAACAAGCCCAAGGAAGCTCCATTCCAGAGGACATAAATGATATCTTAATAGTTACTACAGGCAAGCCAGAGCATTCGGGTCATGTGAGGGGTGTTGGATATGGTGTGGGCATTAAGGACTACTTTAGAGCACCTGCACGTCCCAATTTAGGAGGTATAGTGACTAAAGAAGAGCTTGATACATTGATATCCACTGTAAGGCAGCAGACTAAGAATGAGTTTGAAGCTTCATTTGCAGCTCGGCTTCTACAAATGAAAGAGCAAATGAAGGGAGAGATGATGAGCATGATGAGCTCATGATAGGAGACAACTGCTCAACCAGTTCTTACGTCTCTTGTATTTCATAGTACAAAAGGGAATAATGTTCTTGAGTGTGTGTCAGAGGGTCCTTCTGGTGACAACATTGGTGAACCGTGTGAGATATTTTTAGAAGATCATCATAAACGCTTGGTTGCTTTTGGTAGCATCTACAGGTTGGGGTCAACCATCCACCATAAGCAAATTCAAGATGATCAAGTAAGAGTGGTGGTTGCAGATCTAAAAGTTCCAGATGCTTTGGTTTCATTCCCTACTGATGAAGTAAAGATTATGGTTGAAGCTATTGGCAATTTTATCCTATGGCCCAGAGACTTGTGAATCTGGTTCAAGCTATGATACGAAATTTCATGAATTTTTATTATGTAGCAACTTCCTAATATATGTTTTTTATTAACTATTTCTTTTTATTACGTGGAAGCTTTCCTTGCTGAATCTCCCGAAACTTCCACAACCCTCGTTGACTTCGCATCAATGAATGATCTTAATGGTGTATAATTTATTATTTGAATTCAAGAGTTTAGAAATGGATCCGGACGTTGTGGGTAAGAAAGACATGATTGTGACAATTAAACGGGAAGATTTGGTTCAACTTCTGTCGAATAATCAGCTTATCACACCACACATTAAACTATTTATGATGTAAGTATATTTTTCTTTAATATAATTGCATTGTTGTAAGTAAACTTAATCATCAAGTTTAGTAAACTAATATAATTGCATTGTTGTAGGTATCTTCATCATTTGTGTATTACATCGAGCAAAGGTGATAAGTTTGGATTCCTTTCCCTCATCACATGACAGAGAAAGGTGATGCTATACTTTATTAATATGTTCAATTATTAAGATTTCTTACTAATTTTTTATGATTTGTTCTTATACAGAGTCATAGACAACCGGTGAGGACGAACTTGTGCAGTTTATATGTCATGAGACACATGCTCAATATTATTACATTAGGCATGACCGAATTTACAAAAGAAGTAAATATAATTTTAAAAATTTTTATTTTATTATGTTATTTGAGATTGATTAATACGCCTATTTTATGAATCAAATTTTAGATGTTCAACAATTCAGATGCATTTTCTGAAGCTGAAATTAAAGACATCCGCATACGTTGGGCAACCTATTTTGTGGAGAACTTGTGAGGTTTTTGTTACTTTTAGACATGTTTTAATTTTGATAGTTGACACAATTTAGACAATTGTTAGTTTTTCTAATAGTTAAATAGTTTTGTATAGTTGATAAATACTTGATAAACAATTATAAATAAACTGACCTATCTGATTTGGCAATTTTTATGCACAGGAATGGCAATTTTGACAATTTAGACAATTATTAGTTTTTTTAATAGTTAAATAGCTTTGTATAGTTGATAAATACTTTATAAACAATTGTAAATGAATTGAGCTGTCTGATTTGGCAATTTTTATCCACAGAAATGGGTAAAATCGATAAAATAAATATAGTATAAAAAAAATTAAATACACCGGTTATTATCATAACCGTTGTAGAATATAATATTTTTACATTGGTTATGATAATAACTGGTGTTAAAAGTTTACTTTTAACACTGGTTGGGCTCTCAACCGGTGTTAAAAGTTGACTTTTAACACCAATTGGAAGGTGAACCGGTTTAAAAATTGACTTTTAACATCGGTTGGGCTCTCAACCAATGTTAAAAGTTAAAGTAAATTTTTTTATTTTTTTTATATATAATTTTTAACATCAGCTTTATAACTGATGTAAAAACTTTAATTTTTACATTGGGTTTATAACTTATGTAAAAAGAAGGACTTTCTACACCCCCTGAAACAATATCACTTCTTTAACCGTTATAAAAAGTCATTTTTAACAGCTATAAAAAAAGTCATTTTTGTACTAGTGTATGCCCACGCCTTTTGGAACCCCCTAACACGGCCATAATGCTCTTTACTCCCTAATGCTGTGGCCAATATATCCTTCCTACCAGTAAGTACAAAGGTTCCTTGAGAGGATACTTCTGTAAGAGCATCCTGGAACATGTAATCAACCAATGCAATTAGTAGACTTAAATCATATAATTGAGATGTTGACTATAAAAATACTTACAATTTTTAGCCACTTTTCTAGCTTCTGGGGAAATATACTCTCTTTTTTAGTCATCCATCCTCTCTTCCATGCTTGTGCATGATTAATAGGAGATGGAGGAGAAACATCTTCAACATTATCAACCCCAGCTGCTTGTCTTTTTGCTTCCCACTTCTCTTGAGTCATTATGTCATAAACATATGCATACCTCCTCGAGACATAGTATGGTTATATAGATTTTTCTTCAGACGCTCTTGACCCCTTTGACTTTTTTCCTATTAATAAATAATGAAAAACATTTGTTAAATAAAATTTTAATAATACTAGTTTAATATAATATTTTTCCTTTGCTTACCAAAAATTTAGGATCGTGTCTACTATGAACAAATCTCATCCATGTGTCATAATCAATGAATGGATACTTCTCCCAAGGTTTTTTCACGCCAATATCATTGTCACTATCATCGTTTTCATTGTCATTCTCAGGAAACATTTTTTTGTAAGTTTGGACTTAAAGTCCCTCCATCAATCCCCAGCATATTTTAGCCATTTGTCCTTTAAAAATGAAGTTTCCTTTATGTCATATGTAATATGCAAAAACACATTAATGATAAATTTAGTTACAACATATATTTCAAAATAAAAGTAAATATGATATAAAGCAATTAGAAATACCAGTATTGTTTCCTAAACATCATCTCTATCACTTTCTTTTACATCATTCCACTCTTCCTCCAAGATGCTTATCTTTTAACAAGCCACAGGACCCACAAAAATCTTAAAAATATTTCCTTTTTTCTTATCAATCGGTTGGCCCTTTTCATCAAAGTCAAGATGAATCTTTCCATGTGCTTGGGCTAACTTAGTTAGTCACGTGGCCCCTCTTTTACCTCTCTTAGTCTTTACTTTTTCAGTGCCACTGCTGCAAGGATTTTCCATATTTCTCTTGAAATAAATAAGATAAATAATATTAGTAGTAAAAATATAATAAATTTAAACTTATATAAATAATGAAAGCATAAAAAAACAAAAGAGATAAAAGAAATTCACTAATATTATGTTACCATTATAAATATATTTTAATTCTCCCATAAGCCTTCATCATGATCAGTTCTAACGTTATAAATGTCATCGTCATCTTCCACATCCAACAAGGGTTGGGTTGGCATAAAAGGAGGAATCTCTTCAATGCCAAAACTTGTTTCATCATTTTTATCATGAGACAGGAGACTTTTTCCTAATAGTACGATGGACAACCTTTTATCAGCTGGATCGGTAACATAAAAACTTGTTTTGCATGAGTTGCCATGATAAAAGACTCATCCTTATGTTTTGCCTTATGAAGATCCACTAAAGTAAAACCCAATTTATCTTCTTGAACACCATTCTTAATATCAACCCACATGCACTTGAAAATGGGCACCTTAAATTTAAAGTAATCAACTTCACATATCTCTTCAATGACTCCAAAATATGATGAAAATGCCACAGTTTGATTTTTAATCTTTAGCATTGGAAAAATGAGTTGCCTCAGCTTCTACCATTACCCCACTATTTTGCATAATGCTATTATCATCTTGTATTTTTGTATAGAATGAATACCCATTAATGTCATATGCACTCTAAGTTATAATATCAAAGTTAGGCCCATTAGCTAACCACCTTATTGTATCAGAAACATTGGCCTTCCGACGATCCTCCTTTACCCTTGCCTTAAACCAGAGTGAAAAGTGTTTGTTATGCTTACTTAACAACCATTTATCGGGCTTTTTAGGGCATCGATCCCTTAATTCATTTTTATGTGCATCTAAGTAATCCTGAACATCATCGGTGTTATTCAGAATGTACAAATGTGCTTGTTGTATTTCTTCATGTATTATGTGCTTTATTTTCATCCCTCATGTCCCGTGCCCATGAACTCTCATTCCCTCATGGCGAGACTCAGGAACTCCGATAGACTTTACTTTGGTTAGGTATTCAATACAAAACTCAACAACCTCCTCAGCAACATATCTTTCAACAATGGAAGCTTTTGGATGATAGGGATTTTTTACATACCCTTTAATAATTTTCATGTACCGCTCAAATGGATACATCCAATGTAGATAAACAGGGCCACATAACTTTATCTCTCTCACCAAATGTACAATTAAGTGTACCATGATGTCAAAAAATGAAGGAACAAAATAAATTTCAAGTTCACATAAAGTAATGACAACTTCATTTTGCAATTTGTTTAATTTTCCAGGATCAATGACTTTGCCACAAATTGCATTCAAGAAGACACATAATCTGATAATTGACTTTCTCACCTTTTCGTCCAATATGTCTCTAATTGCTACTGGTGACAATTGTTGATTTAGTACATGGCAATCATGAGACTTCAAACCAACTAATTTTAAATCTTTTATTGATACAAGGTTCTTGATATTTGAAGAATATCCTTGTGGAACCTTAATACCATGTAAACACTTGCAAAAACTTTTTTCTCTCTCTTAGACAAAGTATAAGGGGCAGGGCTCATGTAAGTTCTCTTTCCTTCTACTCTTGGACCCAAGTTTGTTCATATTGCCATGTCAAGTAAGTCTAGCCTTGCTTTAAGTCCATCCTTGGTCTTTCCCTTTATGTCTAACAGTGTTTCAATTAGACTATCACACATATTTTTTTCCATATGCATCACATCAAGATTATGTCTCACCTCAAGGGTGCTCTAAATGGAAGATTGAAAAAGATAGACCTCTTCTTCCACTGATTCTTTCGAACTTTTTTTTTCTGACTCTTACCAAATACCACATTGATGTCTCTCACCCACTCATATGCCAAGTTTGTAGTTAATGGCTCTTGAGCTTCATCATACTCTTGATAACCATTGAATCTTTTTTTCTGCTTGCGATAAGGGTGGTCTCATCTCAAAAATCTTCGATGACCAAGATAGACTGTCTTTTTCCCATGTTTCAATTATTGATGGGATTTATTCTCTTCACAGATAGGACATGCTTTATGCCCTTTCACACTATATCCAGATAGGTTTTCGTATGCAAGAAAATCATTTATTGTGTAAAAAATTATAGCTTGCAACTTGAAAGACTCTTTTTGATATGAATCAAATACTTCAACACCTATCTCCCACATCATCTTTAAATCTTCAATCAATAGTGCCAAGTAAATATCTATATCATTTCCTGGTTGTTTAGGGCCTAAAATTATCAAAGATAGCATGATATATTTGCGTTTCATACATAACCATAGAGGAAGATTGTAAATCACTAACAGAACAGGCCATGAACTACGTTGACTTCTAAGACTACCATAAAGATTCATTCCATCTGTACATAGTCCAAGCCTAAGATTTCTAGGCTCATTGCCAAATTCAGGAAATAGTTTATCAATTTCCTTCCATTATGGAGAATCAGCTGCATGTCGAAGCATGCCATCCATTTTTCTCTCATCAGCATGCCATCTCAAGTTCTTTGCCTCACTTGAATTAGCGAACAAACGTTTAAACCTTGGTATTATAGGAAGATACCACAACACCTTCGCTGGAGGCCTTTTAGTAATTGAATCATCACTACCATCCATTTCTTTTACTTTGTAGCATGATGCCTTACAGACCGGACATGCATCCAATTCTTCAAAATCATTTCTATATAATATACGATCATTGGGGCAAGCATGTATCTTTTGGTACCCCAAATCCATTGGACACATTATTTTTTTTGCCTCATCATAACTACTGGGAAGTGTATTACCCTTTGGAAGCATCTCTTTCAACAATCTGAGCAACTCTGTGAAACTCTTATTACTCCACCCATAACTTGCTTTCAAGTTAAACAACTTCAACACTGTTGTTAGTCGTGTATATTTTGTGCACCCTAAATACAAAGGAGTTTCTGAATCATTGCACAAGCTATCATATTTGTGCACCTTTTCAATAGCTTCAACGCCAATATCACATAACATATTCTCTATTTGATCACCAAAATAATCCATATCATCATCCACCTCTTGTGGCACACTACGTTTTCTAGATTCACCATGCAACATCCATTATGTGTATGCTTTATAAAACCCAAAACAAATTAGGTGATCTTTAATCTCAACAGAACTTCATCGCAACCCATTCAAACATTTAACATAATGATAATAGAACAATCCTTTATCATTAGGAGCATTATTTTTTGCAAATTTCAAAAATTGATCTACCCCTCTCTCACATTCGTTGCTTGTCTGCAAAGAATCTATCCAACTACGGTTCATCATTACCTAATTAAAATATCAACAAATAATTTATGATTTGAAATTTTAAAAAATTTGGCAGCATAACGACTTATAAATTAAGATTTCTCGGGCACTAAACCCTCCAATTAAGCCTATTAATTTCCAATAAATCACCAATTTCAACTAATTAAATGCAATGCACGATATTATATACTAATCAAGTATAATTAACCACACAATTAAAAAATAATAATAATGTATCACCCAAATAATTTACATTTTTGTAATTTAAAAAAAAATTGCTTGCACAACAACTCAATAAATAGAGATTCTCCAAGATTTAAAATAAAATTTAAACTAATTAAACTCAAGGCATGATGGATTATAATTAAATTTAACAAAATTACAATTAAAAAAATATGCATAATTATAATTAGAAAAAAAATCAAGTTTCAAAATCAAAAATGAAAAATTCCAGGCAAAAGGATGAAAATTAAGCTAAAAAAATGACATAAATTGCAAAAAAAATAATATATTGTAAAAAATAAAAACTAAACTGCAAAAAAGGATGAAAATTAAGCTAAAAAAATGACATAAATTGCAAAAAAAATTAATAATAAATTGAAAAAAAATAAACTAGAAAAAAGGATGAAAATTAAGCTAAAAAATGAGATAAATTGCCAAAAAATAATAATAAATTGCAAAAAAATAATAAACTGCAAAAAAAAGGAGGGAAAAACCTTTAGGTGGCACCGAATGAGACAACAGGTGGCGGCGAAGCTATGGGCACTAAGACGAGCTGGAGCAGGAGCTATGGGTAGATGAGCTAATAGCGGACGAGGGAGTTGGGGGAAAAGGGAGTGAGCTGCGGTGGACAAGGGAGCTGGGGGAATAGGGGCTGGAGCTGCGATGGCTGAGGGAGCTATGGGAATGGAAGCTGTGGTGGATGTTTTGGGAGTTGAGGGCAAGTGAGGAAGTTGAGGACGAGTGAGGAAGTTGAGGGTTGGGCGGCAAACATGAGAGGAGGAATTTATTAAACACATACGGTGATAGGCGTCATTAACGCCTGTCGTTGTATGTAATTATGGACTTACGGCGACAGGTATTTATTATGCCTATCGCTGTAAGTTTGCCTAATTTTAGGCATAATCAATAGAACGCCTGTCGCTGTAAGTATATCTGATTTCAGGCATATTAATTATGCCTGAAATCAGACATATTTAATTTATATATATATAATGAATAAATATTTATAAAAATTAAAATAATCCTAATTTTATTAATAGTTTAAATTTAATATGTTTGAATTTAGACACATTTAATATGTCTGGATTCAGGCATATTAAAAATTTAAATAACTAAAAAAATTTATGTAAAATTTTTAATTATTAATTAATTATTATTTTTTATGAAATTGAAGCATATTTAATGCTTGAATCAGACATACGGTGACAGGCATTTATCACGCCTGTCGCCGTAAGTTTGCCTGATTTCAGGCATAACTAATATGCTTGAAATCAGACATATTTAATTTATATATATATATATATAATGAATAAATATTTATAAAAATTAAAATAATCCTAATTTTATTAATAGTTTAAATTTAATATGTCTAAATTTAGACACATTTAATATGTCTGAATTCAGACATATTAAAAATTTAAATAATTAAAAAAAATTATGTAAAATTTT